AGGTTTCTGAGGGAGTGAAGCAAAACAAGACTAAAAATGAACAGGAAAATGGGAGGAAATAATGAGGGTATTAAGGCAATTTAGCTAACATAGCCAAGTCAAGGGAAATGATCATTTCAGTTTTATGAGACTGCGGGGACGTGGGGGTGACATTCCTGAGTATTGCATTTACTGGGGTGCATGAAAGATAGGCGTTCAGCCACAGTTTACAATCTTTGACACCCTAAATGTTTATATAACATTGAGATAGAAAGTGAAATAAAACACAAAGTCTCAATTATGGAAAATGCTGCCTCACGTTTCAAACACTTGCCTGGGCCTCATTGGCTGCTTCTGTGGAGAGGGGTGTATGTAGCAGGAGACTCCCCCTCCCACATTAACAGAAGCCAAGCACCTGAGTCTTAGAAAGAAAATGCAATACAAAGGGGTCACATTACATTTATCATTCTTATTAGACTCCTGCACAGTGGACATTTGATGAAGACCTTATATTAGAAGCTTCTTAATATTTATAGTTAAATGACATATGAATTGACTCCTTACTACATTATTAAAACAAAGAATAGCATAATACATACTCTCTTCCGTAATATTTTGGTCTGTTTTCCACCTATATTAAAAAAGAAGAAAAATATTAATAATGCATTTGAATTCAAATCAGATAGATAAAAATGCTTTTCAAACAAACGGAGCTGGAGTCCTGGTCATAATTTTATTACAGTTTTTGTTCCCAAAATTAGAGCTCCATGAATCTGTGGAGTTAACCAACACATTCCCCTGTCTGGGGTAGGAAAGTTCTAGAACCATCATATTGCTCTAATCATTTAGGCTTCTTCTTCACCCAAACCCAACCATCTAATAAAAGAATTTCAAAGGAAACAAAGTGATGCTTATTTTAATATTAAGGAACTTATAAAGATATTACAAGGCTTCATCCTGAAATATACAAGGAATATTTTTAGCATGAATAAAACATAAGCACTTATTTCAATCTTCACCCACTTGTTTCATTATGTATTTACAATAAAAATGAAGCGTGCATCTGGGTTAAAAAATAACTTTCATTTGGTCCCTTCCCATGCAAAGTCAATATTCTAACATTCTTATTTTTTCAACAAATGATTAATGACTAAAATTACTTGACACCAAGATATAGATGCAGAGGACAAGATTTATGACTCGACCAAACATCACAAGCCTTTCAGAAAAGATTTTCCAATCACAGCATCTGCCTTGGGGTTATTAACCCATGGAATTTTTATCTCATATAGACTAGTCTACTTTCACAAGAACTTCGTTTTCCGATGTTCCTGGTGTTGGAGTTGGGGAGAAATGAGCAGGAATTCTCATGATCAGCTTTTGTTCTTCTAGTCTAACTCCAGGGACTAGAAAACAGTGGAGCCACATTAAGTTATGAATTTCCATTGATGTTATGACGGCGTACAATATGAGCCTGCAGCTGTTTTATTTATAGTTATTTCTGTCTACAGTCAAATGGGGAGGTTTTTAAAGAATTATTTTTAATCCTCACCTCTTATTGATTTTAGAGAGACAAGAAGGGAAAGAGAGAAACACAGGTGTGAAAGACAAACATTGATTGGTTGCCTCCCATACGCATCCTGACTAAGGATCAAACTTGTAACCTTTTGATGCACCGAAGACGTTCCAATTAACCGAGCCACCTGGCCAGGGCTCATAGGTAGGGAAAGAGGTGGGAAAGGTACTGTCCTATCTCCACCCCTCAAAGGATGCAGGGGACCCAAAGGGGTAGAAGGGAGCTAGAGAGAAATGGTCAGGAAGGGGGAGCCAGGAATCTGAGGGCCACATTCACAATCCTGAGTGGTCAAGCTTGACTGGCATAAAACTAATCATCTGGACACTTCTAAGTAGGTGCTCACTCACCTGTGTATTTTATACTTGAAAAGCACTGAACTGAGAGGGGGGCATTCATAACTCTCAGTCTTCACGGTGTGAAGCCTGCTCAGTGTCACTTACAGAGGAAGATCTAAAACACGTCATTAACAGAAGCACCGAGTGCGAAACGGCACCTTGTTATCTGACGTATACCACGACGCTACGTGCCGGAGAGCTTCTCCATATGAGCTGAACATTTCGTCATTCATATCATTCTATTGGCTTTCAAAGTTCTTTCTTCCTTTTATGATACTGTAGGTATCTGAATATAACACCTACATGGCATAGAAGAAATTTAGTTCCAGAAAAGCCAGTGGAGGTAGACGAGGCATAATGGGCAAGATATCTCTGCATTCTTAGAGAGAAGGATTAAAATGATTCCCTATGTAGAAGGACAATTTTATTTCCATCTTTTTGGTTGAGTCATAACACACATTTGCAAATCTGGGGGTAGCTTCCAACCCATTTTTCTTCTCTATCCTCTTATCTCCCCAGAAGGGAAGAGTCATCTAACCTCCCTGATGGGCAGCATGGTAGAGAGAGCCTGCCTCTAACTGCTGGCATGCAGGTAACTAGCTAATCAATGTTGAATTTAATTGACTCTTCAGACAACAAATTGCTTTCAGTTCATTAATCCATCATAAAAACTCACTGTGTTCAGGACTCTGTGCTAAGCCCTGCAATCGTTCGTGAAGTGATGACCTTCCAAGCGTGAGAGGAAGGGTCCGAGGAGTTCAGGGGTGCTCTGCATGTGCAACAGGAAGACATATTAAGAAATCTAACGCAGCCTCCGTCACCTCCTCCCGTGTAGGGAAGCCAATAGTTATGGTGCCTTGAAGGAGACCAAATAAGACCCTGCCTAGAGGACAGTTGGATCTAACTGAGGGACAGATCTGAATATGAAAACCATGAGCAGATAAAACAAGAGCATTGAATTGTGTGTGGGAGATTCCATGACCTGGAATATGGTCATGGAATTTGTCCCCAATGTTGCAGGAGACGTATACTAAAATATCCTTTATTTGAAATTCAAATGTACTTAGGCACCCTGTTTTTATGTCTTCTTTTCTAAGTCTGGCAACCCTTCATAAGGGGAGATGAAAGGTAGGAAAGGGAAGAGAAGGGAAGACAGAGGTGTGGGCATCCATCTGATCCCTGCTCTCCTGGTTGGACTCGATCTCTTTTCCTTTTGTTGTACAGCTGTCTTTGTTCACTTAAAGAGAGAAATAATGGCTGGGATCAAAACCGAACAATAACCCTCTCCTTTTCCTAAAGTTTTTGCTTATAGGAATTGAAACAGTCTCCATCTCCACACTTCACTGAGCTTTTAACCACACAAGAGCTTAAATTAAACAACCCTAGAAAAATCATAGGCATCCACATTTTTTTCAAGGTGCCCTTAGATGCAGACAAAACACTCAAAAATATCAATATCCAAAATATTACTAAAATGCCTTTAAAAAACTATACAACAATCTGATAAGATTTTCTGCCCCATATAAACTATTTAAACACCAATAACATAATTGTCTAACACTTAATGGAGTCATTCATCGGAGTTGTGTGCAGTCCACTGCTGAATAGAATAGGGATTGTTTATGCTTCTACACTGAGCATCTATATATAAAACCCTAAGCAACTGGTTGACCAGTTGCTATGATGTGCACTGACCACTAGGGGGGCAGACGCTCAACTCAGGAGCTGCCCCCTGGTGGTCAGTGTGCTCCCACAGCAGGAGCGCTGCTCAGCTGACCAACGGGTGCCAGACACCGTGCTCATGGCTGGCGAGCGCAGCTGTGGTGGTGCAAGCCTCTCCTGCCACTGCAGCAGCATTACTGAGCAGTACCAGGTACTGCAGGGCTGGGATGAGTGGGAGCAGCATGCGCCTGGCCCAGGCTCGGGCTCCTCCCTGGCCACCTACTGCTTCGCACTCTACTATATCCCTCAGGGGATGTTGGCAGTCCAACATCTCCTGAGGGGTCCTGTATTGTGAGAGGGCGCAGGCCAGGCTGAGGGACCCCACCTGTGCACGAATCCATGCACCGGGCCTCTAGTATACTATAATAAAAACCAACCATGAAATAATATTGACAAAGATTTGAAAAATACTCTCTAAATTGGACCTGCATTGGTAGTGCCCCCAGGTACCAGGCCTGAACAAATACTAAGGGGCTATATCCTCAGGGAAAAAGGCAGGAAAATATGTCCAATAGACTTAAACATGAGGCCAATCAGAGCACTGAGATATGAGAGAGACCCTCTTCCATCTCTTGGCAGCCCTGCTACTCAGAATGTGGCCCGGGGACCAGCCTCCGCAGCAGGGGCGCTACCTGGGAGCTGGTCGGAAATGCTGAGTCAGCACGTCGAAGGGGTTGCGTACACACTAAAGCTTGAGCAGCTGCCACAGGAGAACTTGTCATCGCAGGTTTTCAACTGGAAGAAGGATATGGGCTAAAACTTTTTGTAAGTTGTTAGAGCAAACATTCGAGATTTGTGGTGGGGGCTGTTCTGAGAGCAAAGGCTGCCTGTGCTGACTGCTCGCAGAGCGAGGCAAAGACTACGAATGCAGAGCCCTGCTGTCAGTTTAATTGCTGGGTGACCCTCAGTAGGTTATTAAACTTCTTTGCATCTCATTTTCCTCCATTTTCAATAAAACTGGAGTTAGAAAAATGCGCTGCTTTAATAAGGCTGTTTTGAAGATCGGGTGAGATAATGCATATAAAAACGGTGAGGCTTGGAACACTGTCGGTAACAGGTGATCACTTATTGAGTAGCTACTCTGTGCCAGGAATGTCCTTAGGTTGCCCATGTTTATCTCATTTAAGCCTCCCAACAACACTGGGGGGCACATGAGCTCTCTTATTCGACAGAGAGCCGCTAAACAATGAGCGTGAGGTCACAGGACTAGCAACTGGCTTCAAACCCAGCACATACCCTTTCACTCCCGGGTGCTTCTTCAGAGCAGACACCAACCCGCGCCAGCGACTCTATTGCTAGGGCACAGCGCTGCCCTTCGCTTACATACTGGACTGTCCAAATTGTCCTGCAGCTTTCTTTGCCAGGACTGAACGCCTTAAAATCTCTTTGTGATGACTGAATTCTGTCCACGAGTTAACAAATGAGAACCAGGGATCAACCTGCCTCTCTCAACTGTTCCCCTGTCATTTAGAAGCGCGTGTATTCCAAGCTACCTGGTTAATTTCCAATGCCTCCTTCTAATGTTAAGGACACATTCTCAGCACTTTGCAAAGCTTGAAAGAAACAGTCGGGTGACAGCTGCACAGTGAGAGACAGGAAACATAATCCTTAAATGAGTTTGCTTTATAGTCAGATTATCATTGCCTAGATAAACACAAGTTCTTTTATATTCAACACAAAGACATCCAAAGAATATTGTGAGTCCTCTGTAAACAAGGTTTCCAATTATTGAAAAAACAAAGCTCTTATAATCTCTCAGCAGCTGGTATATGTTAAGTTTTTGCTTAATAGAAATAATTTTAAAATTCAATTTAGCAACCTCCTAAGGCAGGGCAGCTAGACGGCTGGATTTTCTGAGCTACTGATCAAATGTAGAGAAATGGGTTTTGATGACAGGATTTGTATTGGTGATATTGGGGCGATTTCACCCAGAAAAAAATAAATAAATAGGGCT